TATTTTAAAAAAATCTGACTTGTTTCAATTTTTTTATTTAAATTAAGTATAGGTTTATTTTTTTAAAGTAAACCTATTTAAAATTAAATGTGAAATTGACAATCTATTAAAATAATTTAAATTAAATACAAAAATAATATTAAGCAGTACATGGTTTGCTGCCAACTGTTAAAGTCAAACCACTGAACTGCTGGAAGTCATTGAATAAGCATCTGGAATCAGAGTTTGTGGATGTGTTAAACCAGCTTTTACAGCAGTCACCATTCATTTCAGTTTATTCAACCAGTTCAGTTCAATGACTAGTTCATTCAGAGTTAAGAAACCAGAAAAATCAGTTCAATTCACTAACTACAGATAAGACTTCCTTTGTTTACTAAATTAGTTAGTGTTAAATGCAAAACATGTTCTGATAAACTTATTGATAAGAAAAAGTTTATGTATCAAGCACTTAAGGTAGTCCTATTTAATTAAAAAGTTTTAAATGCTGTTTTTGTGCATTTTAAATCAAATTTGAATTTCCATTCAAATAGATCCACACACAAGTAAAAAAATTAATCATCTTCTAACATAAAAATGTAAAAATTAAGAATTTGTATAAATGTAAGGTAAGCTATATAACTGCTTAAATAAATATGTATAAGTATAGTATATCCTCCTGATTAGCAAAAACACCGAATTTAATGTACAGGCTATATTTAGCTGCAAATCACTATGTTTTAATGGTTATCAACTAATGAGATCCAACCTTTTTATATGAAAATAAAGTAAAAATGCAAAGCACAATTAAATCAATTATTTAAATCAAGGTTTCCTGCTTGCTGATTTTAACCATTAAATTGGTGATTTAAATCACTGCATTCTGCTGCCAAACTAAGGTACTGGGCCAAAATCATTTCCAGTCCCATACGAAGTAAAACTGTCAAACTATATTTCCTCCCATTTCTATCACATTTCTTCAGGTCAAGTTTCATTCTAGTTGAGAAGCACCAGGGTTTCACATCTGCATATTCCTTATGCTATTCTTGTTCAATAATCTCCTTGATAAACACAAAACAGCCAATTCTGATGGCATAAATTATTAGCTTCTTCAGAAAAGTTTTACCTAAGAGTGCCATGTGAAAAAATAGATGCTTTTTAAATGGATCAATCAGCTAACAAAACAAAACTCTGGATTGAAGGTTAACAACAAACAAGTCAGGATTCAGAATTAAAGACAATAACCATGTAATTAAGAGGCATTAGGCAAATAAAGGTGGATCTTTCACTATTACACTGAATCTACATTATATTTTTAAATGATGAAGAGGGCATATATGACTCCAAAGCCACTAGCTAGGATTATGAAAAAGGACAATTCACAGTACAACTAAATTATCTGCTGAACATTTGTGTGTTGCAGTAGTTAATACACACATTTGTACTTATACAACTTCTAGTTTAAACTAGTATCTGCTGCAAAAGCCTGTAGATTTTAAATCAGGGTTATTGAGAACTGTAAGTAACTGTCCCAAACCCTAAAAACACCTGCATTTTCCTGCCACGTTCCCAGTTCCCTACCCAGCAACCTTGCAAGCTTCTACTCCACATGCCAAAGCAAAAATCAGCTGACTTGTGAGAACATCACACAAAAATTGCTGCAATTTTCTTCAATGGTTGAGATTTTAAATTAAAACTTTATCTGTCAAATTAAAAAAAATCCTATATTTCAAACAATTTCAAAACCCAAGATACTCTGTGTGTATAAATGTTTGAAAACTATTGCTTCTAAGCTGAATATTCCATTACTTATGATAGCTGTAAATTTACTTTGATAAGCGATTACCTTTCACCTAATCTAAATTATTATCTTGAGAAAGATGTAGATGAAAGGGTGAATGTAATGTTTCTAACAAATGTCCCGGGACTATACGTTTACTTTGTAGTAGACCTTTGCAAAACAGTACTAAGAAACGCCCGCAACAGTTCTTGATTTTTTATCATAACTAAAGAAACACTTGTAACATATGGACTTGACTGATAAACTGCCAATAAGATACAACTACCATCTTCCACAGATATGAAAATAGAGGAAGAAATAATGCACATACATATACACATAAGCATTTAATCTTAAAACTAAAATGACACAAGTGGAATACAATGGTTTGGTTGGAAAACAAGATTATATAAAGTGGAGCCACTTCAACAAGAACAAGACTAATAACTTAAAAATATATATAATCTTACCATACAGGACAATACATTTTGACGGGCACAAGGATTGGGAGAGTCCCAGGTGTTAAACCATGACTGTGTTCTAGTTCTGAACCAAAACTAGACAGTTCATCCAGCACGCACATGCTTCAAAATGAAATGGAAAAAAATGCAAGCCAAAAAAAATTCAACAAAGATTAGAATACACCACAAAATGGGTTGTTAGTTAAATTTGAAAAACAAAAATGGACACAAAATACAGATGCTGTGCATGCTTTAATAAACGGTCTAGCGGTTATCACACCTGCATTAGGAGAAGTGTACTCTGGCCACCAACCTCCCATGTTCTCTCCTTCAGCTGAATCAGTGCTATCCAAGGTGACATTCAGCTCTTGAAAGCATTGTTTTCTGTCAAAGCTGTATTCCTCCTACACACAGGACATGAGAGCAGAGATCAATAAAAAAGAGACATGTACTTAAGATACACACTCAGCTGTCAAAAGGGACAGTTGCAATTAAAATTATATGAAGGACTTCTATATTAAGGTAGAACTTTGCTAATGAATCTAAGTCTGAGATATCAGAGGTAATTAAATATAGAAAAAAATTTCCTGTAAGATGTGAGCATGATATTGATATCTCCTAACCCTACATACACATTAATGGATAATGATGACAAGCATCTATAAGAAAAAAAAAAATCAATGATTACCTCAAAGAAGGACACTAGAATTAATTGATGCTCTTTAGAGATCATCCCATGCCATCCCACTGACAAGAAGAATAAGTAACAGTTGTTCCTAAGCTGAAAACAGCCCTGATTCACTAAGGTATTTAAACACTGGCTTAACTTGCAGCATGCGTGTTATTCCATGTGAAATTTCTTAATGACTTGAGATTAAACACATGTAAATTTCATAACCTAAAGAGAAACCTATGATGCTACTAGAATTTACCTGTATAATTTATGCCTATATACACACACCTTTGTTTTGTTTACCTCTGTAAACCCTTCTTCACCTCCCGTCCTTCAATTATATCTTTGTATTCAGCTGTAAAGCACCATGCATACTTATGGCGCCATATAAATAACAGAATTACTAGTGTCCTTGATTAACATATAGGTAAAATGTGTTTTTTATTTCTACCAACCTACCTGATGTTTCCCGCTGGCCTGGTTGCTCTTCCTTCTTGCCTGCTGCAGCCTGCCAGTTCTTTGAACTGCAGTCAGTTCCTCCTCCAGCTCCTGCTGCCCTGAGACTATGGCTGGATCAGAGCAGCCAGGAAAGAACCAGTCATCCTCAATCAGTTTTGTGCCACAGGAAAGCAATTACATTTACACATCACACACATACTAGATACAAAGAGATCAGTGACAGACTGAAGTTCCTATGAATGACTGACAGGAATAAGATTATTGGAGCAATCCATAGCATTCACCTTGTGATTTCCCCAAACAATGTTACACAGAAAGTAAGAATAACTTTCATGTAATTCTTTCAGAAGTCTATTGAAGTATGCTTCTTCAGCAGCATTTTAGAAAGACTGACTATGAAAGAGGGATTTGTATTTTGACACTAAAGTAAAAATGCAGCCAATTAAATTGCCAAATTACAACTCAGTTCAATCTGCCAGGTTAAAATACAACTAATTTGTATAATAAAGACATCAGCTGAAATTACTGTATTTTTGTACAGCTGAACAATCACATGCATTTTTATGGAAATGAAATGCTTCTTGCTTGTATCTTTAATTTTAGTGTGAGCTACAATGCCAGATAATTTGAGGAAGTCACAAGCACGTGTTACACTGCAAACTGGCATCAAACCATCTTATCAGACATTAATAATATGATTCTTGGTAAAACAAATATAGAATCACTTGTAAATAACACACCCTGAATATTCAGAGTATGGAAGCTTAAATATGCATCCTGTCCAGTGTTAGAAATGATTTTTCCATTTTAAGTACATTCCCATCTGTTTTGTGATATGACAAAACGTGTGATAGGTTGGGGAATAGATGTTTCATGCAAAGCAGACAAAACAGCATGAAGAAATAAAGATAAAGGTGGCTCCATACTTTAATGACTGTTGAATCTGAGAGTAGATATGGCCTCTGCACTCAACAAATTAATCTAATTTGTCAGTTCTCCCCACAGTCCATGATGTTCATAGATGAGGTAAGAAATGGATCGAATTCATTCCTGGTGTAACACTGGGACAGACTGATTCCCACTGGAATGCCCCTGACTTAACCCAAGTTACGATACCCAATACCCATAAAATTTATTTTTGTCACATTTATGTTAGATGTCGTTAGGAATTCTTTTTGCCCCCCCACTCTTCCCAAATGATAGAATTAATGGAAAACTATAAGGTAATAAGAGATCTAATTAGTGCAACTCTACAATACTAGGTCGAATTTAAAAAAAAAAGGGGGGGGGGGGGTTAAGTGTTTTGTATGGGACACCACTGAGTTAAAATTCACATATTATTACAAAATTTCCTTGGCTAAGTTACTACCCCCACTTTAAACTAATAAAACTAAAAAGATTTTTTAGACACCTAGTTTGGTGTGGGAGCTTGTTTTTGTATGTTTTGCCATTTATTTTGGTTGTTTACTTCTTGCCTTGGACAGTAAAAATAAAGTAGTCATTTTCACTTTTGCTTTTAATCATGTTTTGGTTTTATGCATTACAACAATAATTCAGGGTTGAGTTGCAAATACTGCTCGGGAATCTTCATTTGATTTTATTTAAACATGGTTTCCACTAGAATTAAAATAAATAAAAAATATGCAGGCTTTTCTTAGGTTTTGTAAAAGTGAAAAATTCTCATACCCATACTCACATTAAGTTGTACCTTTCTTTGCAAATAGTCCCACTGAAATCAATGGAACCATTTGTGAAGCAAGATGCTGTTCAATGCAAGTATCAGAATTTGTAAAAAACAAACAAATGTTTTTTTAAGTAAACTTGACAGTGTCCCAATAATTTGGCAATGCAAAGGAGGAATGAAAAAATAATTACGGCTATCGATTAATCACAGTTAACTCACGTGTTTAACTCAGAAAAATTAATCATGATTAAAAATATTAATCGCAATTAATCAGTTTTAATCGCACTGCTAAACAATGCAATCCCAATTCAAATTTATTAAATATTTTTGGACGTTTCTCTATATTTTCAAATATACTGGCTTCAGTTACAACGCAGAATACCGAGTGTACAGTGCTCACTTTATATTATTTTTGTTATCCTGTTTAGAGTGCAAATATTTGTAAAAGAAATAGTATTTTTCAATTAACCTCACACAAGTACTGTAGTGCAATCTCTTTATCCTGAAAGTGCAACTTACAAATAATGTAGATTTTTTTTGTTACATAACTGCACTCAAAAACAAAACAATGTAAAACTTTCGAGCCTACAAGTCCACTCAGTCCTACTACTTCTTCAGTCAATCGCTAAGACAAACACATTTGTTTACATTTGAAGAAAATAATGCTGCCCGCTCCTTATTTACAGTGTCACCAGAAAGTGAGAACAGGTATTTGCATGACATTTCTGTAGCTAGCATTGCAAGGTATTTACATTCCAGATTTGCTAAACATACATATGCCCCTTCATGCTTTGGCCACCATTCTAGAGAACATGCTGATAACGCTTATTAAAAAAAATAATGCGTTAATTAAATCTGGGGGAGAACTGCTGGTCTCCTGCTCTGTTTTACCCACATTCTGCCATGTACTTTATATTATAGTAGTCTCAGATGATGACCAAGCATGTTGTTCATTTTAAGAACACTTTCACTGCAGATTACACAAAACGCAAAGAAGATACCAATGTGAGATTTCTAAGGATGGATACAGCTCTCGACCCAAGGTTTAAGAATCTGAAGTGTCTTCCAAAATCTGAGGGGGACAAGGTGTGAAGCATGCTTTCAGAAGTCTTAAAAGAGCAACACTCCGATGCAGAAACTACAGAACCCGAACCACCAAAAAAGAAAATCAACCTTCTGCTGGTGGCATCTGACTCAGATGATGAAAATGAACATGCATTGTTCCGCACTGTTTTAAATCATTAGTGTGCAAAACCCGTCATCAGCATGGACGCATGTCTTCTGGAATGGTGGTTGAAGCATGAAGGGACATATGAATCTTTAGCGCATCTGGCACATAAATATTGTGCAATGCCAGCTACAACAGTGCCATGGGAACGCCTGTTTTCGCTTTCAGGTGACATTGGAAACAAGAAGCGGGCAGCATTATCTCCTGAAAATGTAAACAAACTTGTTTGTCTGAGCGATTGACTGAACAAGAAGTAGGACTGAGTGGATTTGTAGGCTCTAAAGTTTTACATTGTTTTATTTTTGAATACAAGGGTTTTTTTGTACATAATTCTACATTTGTAGGTTCAACTTTCATGATAAAGAGATTGCACTACAGTACTTGTAATGGGGGAATTGAAAAATACTATGTCTTGTTTTTTTACAGTGCAAAAATTTGTAATAAAAATAAATATAAAGTGAGCACTGTACATTTTGTATTCTATGTTGGAATTAAAATCAATATAATCATTATAGTTGAAAATGTAGAAAACATCCAAAAATATTTAAATGGTATTCGATTATTGTTTAACAGCATGACTAATCGTGATTACTTTTTTTAATCGCTTGACAGCCCTAATAATAATATAAAGTGAGCACTGTACACTTTGCATTCTGTGTTGTAACTGAAATCAATACATTTGAAAAAGTAGAAAAACATCCTAAAATAAATAATACATTTCAGTTGGTATACTATTGTTTAACAGTGCTATTAAAATTGCGATTAATCACTATTAATTTTTTTAATTGCGATTATTTTTTTTAGTTAATCACGTAAGTTAATTGCAATTAATAGACAGCCCTACTTATCACGTAATAAATTATATCAATAGCAAAATTACTAATGACTTTCCCCATTACAAAGCACCAAAAATTGGAGGATCTTAGAGCTGTCAGGTAAGTTGTATAATTTTATTACAACATTTCTGGTTAATTTAACAAGTAATTTAACAAATGCTATTAATACAGTTTTCTAAAGTAAGATCATGTTACAACTTGGAAAATCTGATCTGCAATTACTTCTGATAGAAAAGCTGATATTTCAGCCCCATATTTGATCTTGCAAACATTTATACAAAATTTTCCTCACACAGACACACTGCCATTAACAGAACTATGAATAATATGAGTATAGTTACTTGCATAAGTGTTCAACCTGCATCAGTGTCCTACTACTAAGTATCATAATGATCTCAAATCTGCTACTGGATCCAATAGCATGGAGCTCTATACACAAGGAGCTCCCCACTGTACCTAATACAGGGGTTCATGCTAGTACACCCTACTATAAGATAAGGGCCTAAAATGGCAGCCTCCAGTGAAAGCCACCATAGTCCTATTCTCTGGAGTTACCAATGCAGCAACAAGGATCTCTGCAAATGGCTTTGAAAGATACTATTCAAATATATCGTCATTTTTAGTAAACATTTATTCCAAGATTGTCCTTTGGTGGAAGGAATATTCAAGGTGTGGGGTGTTGTTGGGTTTTTTTGTTTTGGTTTGGTTTTCGGGGGGGGGGGGGAGGAAAGAAGCGGGATTACATAAAACCAAAAGGAAAAAAAAGAAAAAAAACCCTAATCTAGTCCCATTAGAATTTTTTAATGTAATCTCTAAAAAAATAGAGGTCAGAATTTGATTCTTAGCTATTTGTTTATGAAAATTAATCACTGCAAGTTGTGCAGTTTTCCTTTAAACTAGGTTACAAGGTAAATATGGAGTCAGCTATTAATACAAAGGAGAATGAAGAAAGAAGATTCTGTTAATATAAACAAAGAAAGAGGCATTGCAAGAGGAAAACAAGTTTAAAAACTAGCATTTGTTACATGTATTATTAAAAACCACATACCACCAACAGCAGCTGTTATAAGGTACTGTTGGCGATTTCCTCCAAAGAAAGGTCTACAGAGGAAAACAGCAACAGTACATTACAGGTTGTCACGGCTGGAACCTGCATGCACAAAACTGATGGGAAACTACGTTCTTATTGGCTGACCAAATCGCAGTGTAGGGTAGGAGTGGAGGGGGAAGGGACGTTGAGTGCTCATCAAGTGTAACGGCAGGAAAAAAGAAACAGAAAGGTCATGCATATCCCAAGGGGGAAAAACTGCAAAATTAAACAATGACTGGACACGGATGAAGTTTTACAACTGTTAATATTATTGCATAAGGACCTGTTTACAACACTCCTGAGATAAGTAGTACTTAAAATTAACAAGGTTTATTCTCTTCTCAATGCCCAAGGAGTTACATGTATAAATCTCTCACAGAGAAGAGAAATGGCCCTTAAAGATTTTGGGACTTACAGAATGAACTTTGAAATCCATCAGCTGAGTCTCAAAAACATTCAAGCTACAGATTAACAAAAGGCTATGCAAATTAATTAACTGGATTTATTTTATTTATAGATGGTGCACATTAACCTTTGTGCCTTCAATCCGCATTCCGATACCAAAGGGAAAAGAAGTTACGGTAAACTGCTGTGGGGGGAGTAGGGGAACAAACAAAAATTTGTGTGAAATCTAACACTTAGACTTTTTCATAAGTTTGATTTTTCAAACAGAAAACATTTTTTTTTAATTTTACCATCATCGGTGACCATAAAATCTCAGATCACCTGGAATGGTGGTTTTGATATAATATTTAACATTTTAAACTAGCAATCTGTCGCCAGTTCTCTCCATTTGTCAGTATCAATGGCATGTCTGTTAGTACATCTCAAAATCTTTTAAAAATCTTACTGGTTATTAACATTTACAGAGAAGCGCCGAATTTCATGTATATTTTGCCAAATCACAACTTTCTATCCCATCACCAAATTTTAAACAATGCTACAACTCCCCATATCTTCTCCTCTAATTCGAGGCAAGCAGCCAAGCAGCTGCCATTTTCATCATTGATAACTCAAATGCAGACATTAAGGTTCTGAAATAAATCCAACTAATGACCCCAAAGATAAGCAGCTCAGATTGCAAAAGCTAACAGAATAAAACATCCACCAATATACATGATGCAAAGTGATGAATGTATGAAACAGACAGAGTCAAGGAAACAATCCAACATACAAACTGAATTACAGTAACCACTTTATTCTGCTAACATCACTAGCTGCATAAATCTCACTTGACTACAGAAGTGAGACACGGAGGAAAGATATCAATTTTGTCTGAACTGCACAAACAGATTTGTAATACCTGCTATGCTGGCATAATGATCTAGTTTCACCTTAAATACTTAAATTCACCTTCTCTCTCTTCTTCAATCTGTGCCACTCTCAGGGCTATGGCAGATTTCTCCTCTCTGGCTTGGTCATGCACCTCCTCTGATTCTGGTACAATCTCCTGCCACTCCAAAAGCTGACTCTGAAACTCATCCACACTGCCCGATTCACTGGCCTACAAGAGAAGTGGGACATGAAAAGAACATTTACCAAAATAAAGGTAACAGTTAGATTGTAAACTATTCAGGCACAGAACTTTCACCTCTGTGCTTCACTTACAGCTTTATATAAATAACAAATACAACTAAGACCAACAAATAAAGTAGATAATTTTCTTTAACATTAAAAACCATGTTAACAGAATACCTTGTAAGTTTATCTTAAAAAAAAAAAAAAAAAAGCCAAAGCTGCTTGTGGTCAACTTTTTTTTTTTACTGAAAAAGCTTTTTCAACAAAAATGGCTTACTGACCAGAACAAATACTGTATTTCCATTGAAAATCTTGTGGTCAAAATTGCTCAACTTTTTGAAATTAAACATTTCCTTTTTTTAAAAAAAACAGGAAAAACACACCCCTTTCCCCCCCCCCCAAATCACACAAAGTAAAAAAGTGAAGGTTTTTTGTTCCCCCACCAAAATAAAGTTTATGGGGAAAAAAATTAAAAATAGTTTCAAAATTTTGCCATTAAAAATTTTAGTACAAAAAATTAATTTCCTTTGAATTTTTTTGCAAAATACGGTTATGTTTTTCAGCCTGCTCTGCTGGTTCTACAGATATCAGGATTAACAAACAAGATCCATCATTCTCAGGGGCTATTTAGCAGACATTTCTAAAGTACCCCCTCCCTCTCACTTTTGTGTCTCACTATACATTTGTGATAGAAGATCTATTAGTTAATTATATCAATTTGGTTTTTACATTAAATAGTATCATGCTAACATCTCTTGAGTTATCTGTAACTAGATGAACATTAAACTGTTGAAAATTACATGGATTTTCAACATATGCAGGAATTCAATAGCACTTTCAAAACAATTTAAAACCTAGAGGCTTCTTAAGCTGAATGAATCTCAACTGGTGTCTCAATTCTGTATGCTAGTAAATTTAATTTTAACTCAAATTCAAGTTTCCAAAAATACTGTTGTGAAGGCTATAGTTAGCACTGTGAAGCTAATCAACAATTCACATGAATCAACTTTGAATAGAAAACCTGTGAAGCTGCCCTCTTTGTAACTTGTTCGAGGTCAGCCTGCAATTTTCGCTGCTGCTCTTCGTAGACTTCCAGCTTGGCCAGAAGTTCTTCTGCAAAAACAAATGAATTGGCTTCATTATTTGATGCCAAAACAACATGGTAAATCAGTAAATATCTAAAGAAAGAGTGGAAGCCCCAACTGAGATCATAGAATCATTTGGCTTGGAAGGTATCAATGATGGGCTTTGCAGCCCATCTCCCTAAAAAATTAACTCAGATTATTATTAATACCAGTCAATGTTTTAAATCTACATCAATGACAATCAAAACTACAAAGGGAAGTACTATTACCCCCATTTTATAGATGGGGAACTGAGGCACAGAGATATAAAGTGACTTGTCCAATGTCAAACTGTAGCAGACCTGGAATCTAAACTCAGATCTCCTGAATCCATGTGCAGTGCCTGGTCTACATCACAGAAAACCACAGCAGTTTGCTTCAATGATACTTTCTGCTCAGAGAGACCAACTCCAAAAGTGCATGCGTGTCAAAGACTCAGGTATAATACACAGGCGGTACTGAGGGGGGAAGCTTACACAGTAACTATCTGAAATACATGTAGCTGTATCCCTTGCTGCTATTCTGAATTTAATGAAAAAAATTTAACTTTGTAATCCCTGTAGAATAAATCAGAATAAATACACTGCCATTATGTAGTGTATTTCAATTTTAAAGCTGCCAAGTTGTCTTCCTTTGAAACCTTATCATAACAAAGACAAAAAAACCCTTTGTCTTTATTTTATTACAAGTTATCAGTTCAAAATCCAAGATGATAGAGTAAACCAAAAAAAACCAGCACAATTGCTTTATTAATTATTTACCATTTTGAATTCTGAGTTCAGAAAACGCTTTCAGTTTTGACTGTAGTTCTTTCTTTTCAATTTCTAATTCTGAGATACAGTTCTTTAAGGCAGATATGTCATTATTCTTTGATGATAACTATAAAGAGAAACATTGTTAATTTCCTTCAAATGTACTGAAATGCCAAAATCAAGATAAAAAACAAAGCGAATACAATCGTTTCTTTAACCTTTTCTTTTTATAAGATTTTGAGGAACAAAATGTTTCTAAAATAGTCAAGTACAATAGGTCACTGTAAACTGGCAGACCTCTTCCTTTGTGTTTAAGTTACAGACTATTACACTACTTATTAGAACATTCCCTTGTATTAACTTTTTGAATTCAGGAACATCAATCCTTTTCTATTCATATGTTAGGTATTTTCTAGAATCCCACTTAGTGGACCTTTTAGGCTGCATTTTAGTTTTTTAATCAAATCTACAATCACAACCCATTGTAAAACAGGCATATAATGTTAAATTAAAAATGTTACATGTACACTTTTCAGTTCATCCTCCAGCTGTTTGATTTTTGATTTGGACCAAGCCTTCATTTTAAGGAATTTAGCTTCAGATTTGCTGGCCTCTTCTGTTTTCAACTTCACTTGAGCTAGCAAACAAACACCACAATCATCATTTAGAATTCTAGTAAAAGGATCAATGTAATTACAACGCATATTTCAGGATTCAGCACATTCTATTTACTCAGCTACACTTGCAAAAATGTCTATGCTATAGTCATAGCTAGAAGGGAAAAGAGATTGTTTAAGAAATGCTAGGCCAAATTTAGATGTCATGTAACGTAATGTAATGTATCTAGTTTATTTCTAGGGCCGTCTTCTACATAGCATCTAAGCATCTCCCAAGTAATTAAAAAGTACCCACAACTCCTCCTCCACTAAAGTCAGTGAAGCTGTATCCAGTTTATACTAGGTCTGAATTTGGCACACAGTATACAGTGGAGTGACAGGAAGCTTTTCAAATATAAAAGCTACTCTTCGATGTAATACCTTCTAGCTGTTCCATCTTTTGTTTAGTTACAGTATCTACATCTATAGACTGTTCTGAGTTACTCTCTCCATTATTTCTTAATTCTGCCACTTGTTTCTGAAGCTGCAGCAGGGCTTGGTCTTTCTCCTGCAGCTCAGTTTCATGCTTCTCTTGGATCTCATGCACTTCAGCATTATGTTTCTCCTGGACCTTCGTCATCTCAAGTTCATGTTTCTCCATCATGTCTCTTAGCTGGGCTCTCATTACATGTTTCTCAGCATCCAGTTTAGACTGGAGGTTCTCTTTCTCTGATTGAAGACGTTTCAGGTTTTCATTAATTTCCTGTATTAAAAAAGAAAATTGTTTCAGATTTTCTAGATATACCCCTATGTGTTCCTCTGCACATGCAACACACTTTAAAAAGAGATCACTCAGAGCTGGTCAATTGGCAGCATAAGGCGCTGTCACATATATCTATGGTCTGAACTCCCTAGCAGTAGCTTGAAGATACAATGGAAGGTCTGCACTGCTCTAGTGCTAACTACATCCTGACTGGTTCTGTAGGAGGAAATGTCCCCTTATAAAGAAGAAAGGGAATAAAAAGGGAAAAGGTCCTCTGGAAAAACCCCATATCATGCTCTGCTGAGTTCTGAAGACCAAAACTAAAAGAAGTTGACACCCCCTGGCTACGGTCCCCTTTTAAAGTTCTTACTCAGGAAATTAGAGATGGAAAAAGTCTAAGTCATTTATAACCCATCCTTCTGGACTTTCCCCTACATTATCTACTGTTTTGTCTAGTCCAGGGGTTAATCAAACTTCATTACACCATGACCCCCTTCTGACAACAAAAATTACTACACAACCCCAGGAGGGGGGACCGAAGCCTGAGCCCCCCCAAGCCCCGGAAGGGGGGGGGAAAAAGGAGGAGAGGAACTGAAGCTGAGCAACGCTGCCTTGGCCGGGTTGGAAGGGGGGTGGCTTGTAACCTGGGCTTCAGGCAAGTCTAATGCCAGCCCTGGCAACCCCATTAAAACAGAGTTGCAACCCACTTTGGGGTCCCAACCCATAGTTTGAGAACCGGTGATCTAGTCCTTTCTATTTTTTGTAATTTTGTTTTTAGTGATTTCATATTAGCTGCTTGAGGCTAATGAAGAGGCAGAACAAGACTGCAGAATATATTTATAAATGAATAGCCAGCACAAATCAGACATCTATATAAAAAACAAGTACTTTCATAATGAGCCCTAGACTATGCACTGTCTGGTAAACCTTGATCTAGAAAGTTTGGGACAGGAAACTAACAGCACATTGTGTATATTTGAGAATTAGGAAAGCAAATAGGATAGCATGACTGGAGAGCAAGATGGAAAAGTTCACTTGATTAAGATGAAATAATCACTGGGGGAAACCTTCATATGTGCCCAACTCTTGACCTCTCCCTCTACCCCTCCCCCACCCAGGGATTATTCCATCTTAAACAGCTGAACTTTTCCATCAGAGATATAGTAGACAACTCAGACAGTGTGTATAAAAATCACAAGGGAGATCCTGATATGCATACCCAATGACAATTTTGATTACCAGAGTAGAAACGGCTAAAAAAAATATCTTTCTTGGATAATAATAGTCCATCAAGTGTTCTCGGTGCATACAGATTCAATGAAGGATGTTTGTATCTGTGTTCATGACTCTGGAAAGTCCTTAGAAGATGCTGTTCCAATAATTACACAGCTGGTAACAAAAGTATAAAGCATGCGAAAGATTGACAGCTTGCTGCCTGTATCAACAGCATTCACTATAGCCTGTTAAAGAACACTTTAAGTAAATGTTCTGCAGTCCAGCAAGATATATTAAGTATTTTAATCTGGAAAATTTTCAGACATAAGTAGGTAAGTGGTGTTTTCCTAGCTCTCTTCTTGTGTATGCAAATATTTTCCCCAGGTTTCTTTAAAGGCCATGAGATTACAGTGGTATTCAACAAGCTTTACGGTGGATTTGTAAACAGAACTGCTACACACTGACTCAAAAAAATATCAAGTATAAGCCTTTTTTTTAAAAAAGTATCTTAAAACTAAAAGAAAAAGAAAAGAAAAGAAATATTCCATAAGGTGAGAACTTCAAAATGGAAACAATGACAAAGGTTAGTCAGTTTCCGTTCCTGTTCCACAAACCTTGAAATTGCAATAGGGAGTAATTTTATTTGATTAATTTTATAGCAGCAGTAATCAAGCCACTTTTTTTCCCATCTACATCTGGCCAATTCTGACCTTGCTATCATGATCCATATTTTTGTCACCTCAGGATCAATCTACTGCAATGTATTCTATATCCTCAAACCATTGAAACTGATGGAAAGTGTGGCAGCCCATCTAATTAAGTGAAATTTCCTAAAAAAAGCACTTTGCCCAGTGTTCCAGGACTTGCACTAGCTGCCTCCTATTGGTTTCTGGATAGAATTTAAGGTGTTGGTTTTGGCCTGCAATAATCTTTCCTAACCGCCCTGTCCCCACCCCATGTTTGTTTCTAATGCAGTAGCACTCAACAGCCCCAATCAGGGTCTGGGTTCCACTGCACAACAAGGCACTGTATATACACAAAGGAAGACAAAGTACCTTTTCCTCGGAAAGCCTACAATCTAGTTAGCTATTGTAGTTGCAAACAAGCGAAACACTCAAGCTGGAATCCTTAAAAGAGGACTGCCAACTGAGCATTCTGATGGAGAGGCCCTCAGTTTTGCAATTCACTCCTCCTCCTTTGACCTGAAATAACCCCAATCTGTTGACTTTAAGGACATATTGTAAAACGCTCCTCTTATCCCAGGCTTCTGAGGGGATAGGGCCAAGCTAAGGGCTGGTGTTTGTGAGTGGGATGGAGTATTTGGGGGAGGGAGGGAGAAGGAAGGGCTGATTTTTATTTTATTTTCAGCTTGTTATTTTTTGGTTTGCGTTTATACTTGTTGGTACAATGATTACTGTGTTTTTAACAAATGGCACCTACATAAAGTGTGTCTACCCAATGCTGTTTGTATAAATTGGAATAAATAAAATCAAAGAACTTGTTTTTTAACTCATTAATTGACTAGACTATGAACACTCCATGTACAGTTTCTTACCTTCAGCAGCTGGTCCTTGCCATCTAGTTCTTTCTGCAGCATGACTATCACCTGTGTCCTACCCAGCATGACTTCCTCCTTTTCATGTAGCTTCTGTTTCAACGCCTTTAGTAACTAGCCAAGGGAATAAAGGAATTACATTTTACAGGAAAAAAAAATAAAAAGAGGCATTTCTTCCGTCTTCCCAAAATATCACCTGAGCTGTACTTCACAGAAGTGCGTTACCTATAACCTGCATTTTCTTCCTTGCCTATCCTCCTGCAGAGCTGCCCAAATCAAAGCAAGTCAGTGAGTTCCCATTGCCAACATACCTGTTCTAGATCAGCACTGGCATCAGATTTAGCAATTAATTTAAAGAGCTCTTGCTCATGTTTCTGGGCTTGTCCAGCTAGTTCCTTTTCCTTTTCCTGGATAATATTCTGAAACATGCGTATCTGAAAACAAATTATTCAAACTTAGTTTGAAACAAACCTCTAAAGCACACATACATGCATGACAGAATCATTAAAAAAAATGCAACCAATTAAATGTACTAGTATTGACCATTCCAAGAACCAGATTCCATTCTCAGTTACACCAGTGTAAATCTAAAGTAACTCCTATGAAGCCAATGGAGTTTGACCAGAGTAAGTACAACTTTAGTAAGGATAGAATTTTGCCCCTAGGGAATATCACACTCTAGTGAATGACCATTACAAATATAATGAAAGTATCTGCTTTTGTTTGGCCTCACACACCTCGACCCTCTTGCCTTGGTTGTTTCCCTTATGATTCTTTAACGTTTCATCTCTATATACACATGCCTGACCTTTGGCCACTTCTATCCTGGCTCTCCCAACCCTTCCCAAATTGAAGCCATGTAGGACAGCTACTTCCCCCTTAACTACTTGTTTTACATTTCCAAACTTGTCTTTCCTGATCACATCACAAGTTCTGTCAGGAACAGATATAAAACCACAGCGGCCTGACCATTAACGAATATTAAAAAAAACATTTTCTTTTTTAAGATGAACAGTCCTGTTACCTCCAGTGTTCCAGATAGATTTTTATTTGAATGATTACATTCTGCATCTTCAAAATAGCCTCTGTAATTTCACCTGGATATATTATTCTTTATTTCCGATCCCAAAATGATTAGCAGTACTGCAGGCCACTAAACAGCTGCAGTGACCTCTGTGGTGAAAATCAGCATTTCTGATGTGGGTAAAGTGATATCTAAATATAGTCTGTAAAGCACTTTGGGAGTATTGGGATGGAAAGTACTTTATCAATATAAGGGCTTAATCTTGGAGGTGCTCAGCAAACTCATCTCCCACTGAAATCAGCGAGCTGATCTTAGTGGGAGTTGAAGGTATTCAGCACCATTCAGGAATGGACACAATTGTTACTACACCACTACCTTGATATAACGCGACCCGATAGAACACGAATTCGGATATAACGCGGTAAAGCAGTGCTCCGGGGGGGGGGGGGGTGGCGCACTCCGGCAGATCAAAGCAAGTTCAATATAACGCGGTTTCATCTATAATGCGGTAAGATTTTTTGGCTTCCGAGGACAGCGTTATATCGAGGTAGAGGTGTACTACTTGTAAACTGATTTGCTCTTTCACTTCCACATCTTTAAGGCACTTCAAGATTCTCTTGCCCATTCTCTCCTTAGTTAATCAGCTGTCTCAATTCTAACTAAGTTCTTTTATAACTCTATACAGCTCCTTTAGCAGCTGAACAAGAAAGCTGCTTTGATCAAATGAAGCAGAAAAAAAAAAAGCACTAGTTTTATTTAATTGTGCTCAAAAGTGTGCCAAGGTACTTCACAGAACAAATAAAAAGGGGAGTCCCTGCCCTGAATAGCTAGTTTTAGACATGCTGTTAGGCTAGGGTCTAAACAACTAGGAGAAGGGATGACAGAGGACAAGGGTTACAGTAAGAGGACGACACTATTAGTCATGGCATGTACATATTTTGGTGGTGAATTCTGGGAGGAAGGGAGGGCAAAGAGGGATAAGTAGCTTTTCGATTTTAGCTCAGTTCAACTCATATCACCCAATTACCCATTAGATTTCCTCTTCCCACCATGTTTAAATCCCCACTCATTTCAGTGACACAAGCCACCCATAGTACACTAAAAACTGTTTCCTAATTCATTGTTACATAAGCTCTAATTACCAGCTAGATCACTGTTGAACGGATCTTCAAAAAATCAAGAACTGCAGATGTAAATTAATTGTTGAGAGATAGTGGTAACTGGTACATCCACTGTATCAACTCTGGGCACCAAAGAATTTACGATTTGTTCACCTACATTTTCTATATACATGGCTTCTCTTTCCTGGAAGTGATCTCTCTCTTTGCTCTGAAGGTTTTTAAGACTCTCAATCTGTTCCTGGAGTAGGCTACATCTTTCTTCACTATCTCCAACCTTCTTGGTAAGGTTTTGAACTAGAATCTGCATGCTCTGCAGTGAAGACTCTTTCACGGACAGCTGATTCTTTGGAGTGCAAGACATAAGACAATTAGAGAAATGTAACCTGAGCTAAAAAAAATGACAGCATCGTGAATTCATTAGGCTCTACACAGCTAAAGCTAGCTTAGAGTTAGTTTTCAACTTTTGTTTTAAGTTATCAGTGAAATTTGCCAGCTCATTCCAAAATATTACTAAGAATTATTTCAAGATGTCTTTGCCCAAGTTGGACTGGAAAAAAGTTATGCACAAATAAAAATTAATCAGCTTACCTGGAACTCATCAGAATAGGACTTTTCTCATATAAGCAATGGTGCACAACATAGGGGTATGCAGGATCCTTTGACTCTCGCATCTGGTGGGGGGAACCCATATGGGTCTATGCAGATTTGCCACTTGAGCTGCCATTAACATAAACATATACCTTTAATTCTTCACTGGGGGCAAGCGATTCTTTGGCAACGTTGCTTGAGTCACATGCTAGCTGCAAATCAATGATGTAGGCTTCTTTTTCAGCTAGTTTCTTTTCCTTCTCTGCAAGCATGGCATCCATTTCAGCCCCTCGCTGATGCTGGGCCTCCAATTCGGCAATCTGGGAATGAAAAGATGACTATACTTGTAACTTACATTTCTATCACCCACCCTCTTCCAGGTTACTGAAAGTCAAGTTTCTGACATGATCAAATTTTGACTGCAATGGTATAACTATTCAGCCTGATATTGGCCCTATTATCCATGCAATTTCTGCACAATCAGCATTCCTACAGTTTTGCATCGCCAACAGAAATGTTCACAGGTGAGGCCTCTGTACAGCACAGCTACAGCCTGGGGGATGCTATCACTTGTTTAAATTTACTCCTGTTGTTGCCAAAAAAATACTAGGCCACAAAGAAAACAGAAGTCAGGCAGCATTTTCAGCTAGAATCAGAGAGTTGGCAAGCTACCATTATCCCTATTCACAGTGTTCCCAATTCCAACTATTTGTAAACCACAGCAAAAACAAATTTAAGGCCTAACTCCTCACCAATAAAATGAATGGCAAAACTTCCATTTCCTTCAATGGGGCAGGATCTGGCATTTAGCCTCTACTGATATCTCTACAGGCTATTTTCACAATACATCTGTTCAGTCTTTAAAAGTAATTCTACACTGAGTAGACGAAAAACCCTTGTTAACATCACATAAAATCCTACCTTTTTTTGTAGTTCTTCATTTTTGTGTGTGTTCTGGAGTTCTAGTTCTTCAACCCTCCTTCTAAGTACTAATAATTTCCCACGGTTAGCTGCAGCATTTTCCTGGTCACCATCTCTAGATACCTATATATAAATAGGGAGATTTTAGCCTCAAAAGGCAAAATAAAAGATTCCCACAACTCCACTAATTCAGACAATACTGGAAGGCAAATTGTCATCCTACTTATGAAATACTACTGCATATTTCAGAGTTCCTCTCAGGACCCCAGTATTTTTAATGTCCCAACAAGATACTAAACAAAGAAGCCACAGTATTTATGTCAAGTCTGTGCAAAACCGCCAAAGTTTAAGTATATCATGCTGACCACATATGCTGGATGGACATGCATTATCCTGTAAAAAAAGTCCACACATTTCTCTTGGCAAGCACAACCCACATAGCCAGGAAAGAACAGAAAAGAAAGGGATGTAGAGAGAAGAGGAAAAGGGTTATTGAGTCTATATCAAACTATCCTGAAATAAAACATTACTACCTGGAATTCTGTAAAAAAATGTCCTAAATAACTAATTTGTAGAAATTATTTACAATTTATAATCACAAACCATGCATCCTAACAACCTAATTATATGCTTGGCAACCTAATTATATGCTTTCTGAGCAAGGACCAGTGATCTTTATCATAGATCACAACTGTATTAGTAGGTTAACTGTTAAATTATGTATGCTTTGGAAGACATGCATAAAAGCTATTAGCCCTATAAAGTTATGTCTAATTTCTCTAAAACAAAAAAAAAATCTTTTAAGTATTAAATACAATTGTTTTACAAGCTGCATGTACAACAATTGTACTAATGTGCCAAACATCATGCTGTTTTAAAGAAATACTGATATATTTTTTAAAACATTTTTAAACCCGTTTATGATAAAACTTGTATTATTGAAATGAAAGATTCTTATCTAATTTGCCATTTGTATTATTTTTCACATTTGCCCTTGGATAATAAAAACTGACTAGACCCCTTCACTTTTGCAAGTAGTTATTTTTAGGACTGTCGATTAACTACAGTTAACTCACGATTAACTCAAAAAATTAATCACAATTAATTGTACTGTTAAACAATAAAATATCAATTAAAATTTATTAAATATTTTGGATGTTTTTCTACATTTTCAAATATATTGGTTTCTATTACAACATAGAATACAGAATGGACAGTGCTCACTTTATATTATTATTTTCTATTACAAATATTTGCACTGTAAAAATGATAAACAAAAGAAATAGTATTTTTCAATTCACCTCATATAAGTACTGTAATGTAATCTCTTTATCGTGAAACTGTAACTTACAAATGTAGATTTTTTTTTTGGTTATGTAACTGCACTCAAAAACAAAACAATGTAAAACTTTAGAGCAGCAGTTCTCAAACTTCATTGCACCGTGACCCCCTTCTGCCAACAAAAATTACTACACGACCCCAGGAGGGGAGACCAAAGCCTGAGCCTGCCTGAGCCCTGCCATCCCGGGTGGGAGGGCCAAAGCCGAAGCTCCACAACCCCAGGCTGGGGGGCCCAAAGCCAAAGCACCAGACCCCAGCAAGTCTAATGCCAGCCCTCGTGAGCCAATTAAAATGGGGTCGTGACCCTCTCTGGGGTCCCAACCCACAGTTTGAGAACCGCTGCTTTAGAGCCTACAAGTCCACACCGCCCTTCTTCTTGTTCAGCCAATTGCTAAGACAAACAAGTTAGTTTACATGTATAGGCGATACTGCTATATGAGGTGTGGAACATGCTTTCAGAAGTCTTAAAAGAGCAACACTCCAATGCAAAAACTACAGAACCCGAACTATCAAAAGAGAATAAAACCTTCTGCTGGTGGCATCTGACTCAGATGATAAAAATGAACATCTGTCGGTGCGCTCTGCTGTGGATCTTTATTGAGCAGAACCCATCATCAGCATGGACGCATATCCTCTGGAATGGTGGTTGAAGCATGAAGGGACATAGGAATCTTCAACACATCTGGCACGTAAATATCTTGCGCCGCCAGCTACGACAGTGCCATGCGAATGCCCGTTCTCACTTTCAGGTGACATTGTAAACAAGAAGCGGGCAACATCATCTCCTGCAAATTGTAACCAAACTTGTTTGTCTGAGCGATTGGCTGAAGTAGGACTGAATGGACTTGTAGGCTCTAAAGTTTTACATTGTTTTGTTTTTGAATGCAGGGGTTTTTGGTACATAATTCTATATTTGTAAGTTCAACTTTCATGATAGAGAGATTGCATTACAGTACTTGTATTAGGTGAATTTAAAAATACTATTTTTTTACAGTGCAAATATTTTTAATCAAAAATAAATGTGAAGTGAGAACTGTAAACTTTGTATTCTGTGTTGTAATTTAAATCAATATATTTGAAAATGTGAAAAATATTGAAAAAATGGTATTCTATTATTATTTAACAGCGTGATTAATTGCGCGATTAATCACAATTAATTATCTTAATTGCATGAGTAATCGCAATTAATTTTTTTTAAATCGCTTTACAGCTCTAGTTATTTTCTAACCAATTTCCTTTCCTAGTTCTCATGTGTTAGCAAGATGGAGGAAAATGTGGAGTGCAAGCATCCAAAAGGAATCATTACTCCTTTAAAAATAGTTTCCATTATATTTTGAATGGAATGTCCATGGAAACAGTTCTTAACTTTTGTAAAAAGCTATAAAAAAGTGGATGGGTGGATGAATATACAAGATGGATGGAAAACACACACAAAGCCTTAATTTGACCCAAATAGTTCATCTCGGATCCTGGATTTTAAAATCAGGTCCACCCATGCAGATCTGATTTCAGGAACATGGTAAACTGAAGTCTAACTTTAAAAATGGAAGGACAAACTCACTCTCTTTTTTTCCTCTGCTTTTTTCTCTTGTCCTTCTGATCCTGATAATTGCTTCTTAAGTTCTTCCAGTTGTGAGTTTAGTGATGTTACCTTGGCTTTGTTTTGCAGCTTTACTTTTGAAAGCTTGGCTTCAGAAGCTTCTTTTTCTTCCTACCAACATCAGAGTATATATATATATATATATATATATATAAAATCATAAATCTAAAACAGTTACCAAGAACTCCTACCTCCACAAGGACATTTTAACTTCATGCCCAGAAGCCCTGCAACTATAAGGCAGCCTGATAATATTCCTTTCATTACTGCAAAGTATCTGCACTGGACTACTATGAAACTTAGAGGTATTGTAACTTAAGGGGCAGCGTCACATTAAAAATTACATATTACAAAATTTTTCCTTTCCTTTGTTAGTAAAAGGCGAAAGATTTATACGATCTGAAGAGAAACCAGAGTATTACTACTTCAAGGCCTAAACCTTTAAAAGTAAATAGTGATTTGGAGTGCCTTCATTTTCAGATGCCCAACTGCAGACACCTAAAGACCCCTATTTTTGTAAGGCAGGTGACTCAGCTTACACTATCTCAGCTTTTTACTCATCTCGGACAATGCAAGTGGGATGAGGTGCTCCACTTCCTTGATGACAAACTAAATATTACACTGATATTATGAATGCTGGTCACTTGATCATTTGTACCTCTGGTCAGCTACATTTAGATTCACAACACTGCAGTGGAATGTTTAATTTAAAATAGTTTGGTTTGATTTGTTTAAAAACAAAAAAATCTTTGTTCAATATTAGGTTTTGTAAAAGGCCATATTTTGAAACTTATTTTTAGACTAATATGAAAATGTCCCATTAAAAGAGAAGGGTGAAAACATACCTTTCAAAAACTCACTACAAATATGAGCTCTAATCGAAGAAGTCAATGGTGAAAACCCCTCAACAGCATATAGGGCATCTAGTATAAATTCCTTCCATTTACTGTGGCCAGAAATCCAGGGTGACATGCAGTACCATAAGGAATACAGAAATTATGATTGAAGGAAATTTGGAGGAAAAATGTTTGTATCTAAAGCAGCTCAGTGTGGGATAAGTCTGCATCCTAACTAAATGCCAAACAATATTTTGGACAATATTAGCCTAAAAGGAGGAAAAAGTCCCTGTCCAGCTTTGCACAACCTTAAATTTGCAACTGATAATAGTCCCCCACATTTATCAAGAGCATCTGTTCTTTTTTGGGGACCATTTGTTGTCTATGTAATACCCAAAGCTGGTTAAAAATTCTGGAAACAGGAGGTAAATTGGTAGGAAGCTGTAATGTATCCCCATGTACCTGCAAACTGTGATCACTGCTTCCTCAGTCCCTAATATTGATATAACTGACTCTTAAGCCTGTTTTTAGGAAAACAGCTTATTCACCCAAGAAAACATGACTGCAGTTCATTTCCTTCTGTAGTCGGACAATCACACTGATGTGTACACACAGTACCTTTAACCGATTATCTCTATTCCGAAGTTCATTATCCTTCTCTCTGATAAGTTCTTTGAGCTGCGTTACCAGCTGTTCAGTACGTGTCAGCTGTTCAGTCAAATCAGCCACCGACATGTTTGCTGCATCTTGCGAGCCATGAGCCTACAGACATTAAGTATACTTTTGAACAGACAAAATGGTGCAGACAATGCTGGCTGTGCACAAATCACAGTCGTCAGCTTTTCAGCCAACCCAATCAAATTTAGGCAGAGGGTAGTATTTTTAAAACTTAGACATACTGTCTAGACAGCTTCAGGATAATTTGTCAAATATGAGCCACAGAAGCAGCACTGAAATGAAGCCCTGGTAACTGAAATCTCTGTAACACAGATTGTTCCCTTCAGTGCCAACTGTACTGCAATACAGTGGGGACACTATGCTGTTATAACCTGACATGATAACGAAACCCCTGTTTGTTTTTCCCCTTCCATTACTCTCTGTATGAGTGTCTGTCTTTACATTCTGAACTCCTTGGAGCACAGACTGTCCCTTTTTGTCTGCCTGGAAAGCAGCTAGCACATTGTAGGTGCTACCGTAAACAATAAAAATCTCTCATTTCCAGTCAATTCCACTGCAAAATTAGAAGCCTCAACTTCTCAACTTAAGTGTGATTACTTGCCTAAAGAAGGCATGACAGCAGAAATCTAGGCGGTGGGTGGAACACATGCACCTATCAGGACAAGGGTCAAGGGAGAGTTCTTGAAAATATCCAAAGAATCCACACCACCCTACCGTTTTAAAACAACGGAGCCAGCTTAAAAACTAAAAAAAAACTAAGGGGAGAAAAGAGGCATTTCTCCTCCCTCTCACCACAAAAAATTGTTTTCAAAAAGACTTGACACAAAATTACAGCACTAGTTACTTTACAAATCCATTTGTGTTGATTTTAGAAACTTTTCTTTTATAGAAGGATGAGAAGTGATACACAGAGATTTTTACCCATTACTAGAAGAGATTAACAGTTTCACTGAATGTTGCCTAATTTTAGATACCTGGAAGTACTTTCAGCAGAAGAGAGAAAAACTCTTCCCATTACAAACTATAAGAGTCATACCATTAAATATAATAATCTGGAAAATGGCAAAAAGCCGCAAGAGTTTGCATTTTAAAGCTAATACTGATGTTTAAATAGTCAGTATGATTTTAATTCTTGAGGTTCTCTGCTCGTGTTACTGCAACTAATGATCTGTACAGCCAAGTGCTAGCCTGCAAAAACGGATTGATTTAATGTTTACATGGCTTCTACTGATCTTTTCTTAAGTAAAGACAAACACGCTGAAGGTGAGCAGTGTAGTTATGGCTAGACTCTGAGGATTGAAGCTAATAGGACTGGGAGTATGAAGCCACCATGACCTTTAGTGACTATCTTAGAAGAACAGGTTAAGCAGATTAAACCACCGTCCTTGCAAAAAAGCAGATACTTATTACTGCATCTTGAATTGAAATTTTCAAAATTCACAAGTTTTTTTTAAAAATCAGCACTTGCAAGGTTGGTTTTTTTTGTTTGTTTGTTTTTTTTAATACTTACTGCTGCTTTAGGGGATGAATCATCTCCAGTGCCCCATTTCCACATAGTTTCAAGATGGCTGTGAGAAGGAATAAGGAAATACAATTATATTGCTATGAATATTAGTACCACTTAGAAAACTATATACATAACAGGCTTGTTTTCTGCTATTTTTTTCTCCAGGCCTTTCAGTTCAAGATAATTCAAGCTAATTTAATATCGTTTAAAAAAAACAAAAAACAAAAAAAAAAAGGATCTCATTGCATTTGCTGAAACCTGATAGGAACTTTGACACCCGAGTCACATCACGAGTTGCTATTGATTATTAAGAAAGTGCTGTTTAATTCTTTTGTACATTATGTTACTTCTGCAGACAAGGAAGCCATAAAGTACCAACATTATCGTTCCAAATATTTTCAGAAATTAAATTGAAAAAGACAATCTTAAAAATATAAGTGCCTTAAAGTACTTTTTGGCACTAGTGCTACTTCCACCTACAAATAAAAGGTACAGACTGTACTCAGTTTGCTAACATATAACCTGACCTTAGACTCATGCTGTATTTGCCTCTGCAGTATGACAAATATTATTCCAATTCATATTTCTACAGAATGAACAGACTGCTGTGCACAAAAAATAAAGACACTGTGACTAAAGCTCCACGTCTGTCACAAAGGTCGCAGAAATCACAGATTCTGTGACTTTCTGCGACCTCCGTGACTTCTGCAGGGGCCAGTGTGGCTGACCCCAGGGCCGCCCACACAGCTGGCTCGGGGGTCAGTTGCTCAGGTGGACACAGGAACAGCCGCAGCCCCGGTCCCCAGCTGGCCGGAACAGCCATGGCCCCAGGCAGCGGTGCCTGGCCAGCCGGAACAGCTGCGGTCCATGGCTGGCCAGCCAGTGCAGCCACTGTCCGCAGCCCCCAGCAGCTGGTGCCGCTGCCGGCACCCTCCCCACCCCCCGTGATCCCCCTTCCCGAGATTTAATTGCAGGTATTTTTAGTATAAGTCATGGACAGGTGACTTTTATTAAAAATACCCATGACTAAATCGTAGCCTTAACTATGGCATATCACACTGTACAACAACTGAGCATCTCCCATTCATATGCCTAAGGGCCTAAATCTTGAGAAGGGCACTAACTAGGAATTGTAGGTGCTCAGCACCTCTCTGGTTCAGACCCAAACACAAGCTTTCAAAGAGCCTGATACCTAAACTATAAGTAATTTTTAAATTTAGTAGCCAACTTGATACCATGCAGCTTTGGGGCGCCTCTATTTCAAACATTTCAAGGCCCTTGAAGTGTTTTTGCCCTTGATGCAGGGATTACTCACACTAATGGCTCTGCCACACATTGCAAGAACAGGCCTTCCTGAATTTAATCATCTTTCTAAAGCATGTTTCCTATTAGATCCATTTTGACAGTATGTACATGAAAGCTAATCCCACAGTACAGGCAGCTCAAATGTCAATTTATATGTACTGCAGCACTAAGAACGTCTCACTCGTCAGACAGAATTTAGTTAGCTCTTCAAGAGAGGCCTGTGCTATAATTTATCAGATTTGGTTTGATGGCCTGCATTAAGAATACTACCACCCATCTTGCTGTACTTCTCACTTTGACCAGTCTTCAAGCTGCAACAACAAATGAGAAGCCAAACTGTATCTGTTCAGTCACCTGTCCCCACAAGCAACACTTTTCAATGGAATGTATTTTGCCTTTTCAAATCTGCATGCACAGGTTTCAGTAAAAGCACAGCAGAGCAGCTGCGCTTCTGAATTCAGCTGATCAATTTATTAAAAGTGCTGGCACATACTTTATCTGAAAGGAAATGAAGAATGAGAGCACAGATTGTTATTAAGCTGAGCATTTACCACTGATGAGCTAGAAGGAGGAATCACAGAGTGTTATGCAGGAATCATAACAGTCTCTTCTGGCTTTAAAAAGGATGTGGATATCATTACTTTATATATAGTATAAAACTCTCCTTCCTGCATCCCTCGAGTCACAAGACCCAATTTTGCCCTCAGTAACTCCTATGCATTCCTAGTAACATGAAAGGGTACAATGAGGGCAGAATCTGGCTCAGTGTAGCTTGGGGCTGTGTGTAATTTTTTTTTTTTACTTGTAAATGCTTTAGAATCCAACAAGCATTACCTGATGCAACAAGTTTAGTTCACTACATACCACATCCCCTTGGATACCCTGACCAATAGTTCTGACATGTTATTTACATTACGGATGTTAATTAAGGGGCTTTCAGGAAGGGCAAGTGTACCAAAACAAGTTGGGCAGCACAGCTGCATTGGACTCTCTTTACAACTGAACTCTCTTTACCTATCCAGTCCAACTGGGAGATACTGATCGGGGTTGTTTTTCTTAAATCAGCCAGAAGAAACGGTTTGTAGGAGGAGGAGCATCAAGGAGCAGAGGGATAGCTCAGTGGTTTGAGCATTGGCCTACTAAACCCAGGGTTGTGAGTTCAATCCTTGAGGGGGACCACTTAGTGATCTGGGACAAAAATCAGTACTTGGTCCTGCTAGTGAAGGCAGGGGGCTGGACTCCTATGGCCTTTCAAGGTCCCTTCCAGCTCTATGAGATAGGGTATATCTCCATATATTAAAGTTTATAAGAACTGAACCCTTTGGAATCAAATCCTGGCACACACAACTCAATTTTTTCTTCTTCCAAAGTAGTTAAATGGAGCTCTACTTAGTTTACCATGTGTGCATTTTTCAGATGTGACCTTAACTAGCAAATGCTTGTCTGCTATGCAGGACATTAAATATCCATAGGCCCCAATGTTCTTAGTGACCATTCCTGAAGTTATAAAAGTTCTGATTTCCTAGGTCTTTCCATATCAATTCCAAACTCCTCACACTCATTTTCAAATCTCCACACAGCCCCAGTACAGCATCCATTTCAGTCCTTATTGCCTCACCTCATGCACTCTGCTTTGATGACATCTTTGATTTAACTGCACTATGCACCACTTTCCACTATGACAGGAAAACAGCCCACAAAACCTTAACAGAACTTGGGAGAAACTACAAAGGGCGTGTGCCTCCCTACAGGCTCTGGGACATCATATTGGTCTCCACTGAGCCATGGAAGCAGTATGGCTCTAACTGAGTGGTTACTATAACACACCGTGAGAGGGAGGAGCAGAAAGAAATGATTGCTAAGCAGGGTCCCATTCCCACAAACACTCACATGTGCTGTATGCATGTGTATAGTGTCACTCATGTATTTGTAAAATTGCCCCAACCCTAAATATCACTTACAGATAGAGTTGTATACGCATGGGTAGTAGTCATTTAATTGTCCTCAAGGGGCTGTCAGGGAATTATGTGCTCCTCTCTGACCCCGTTCCATAAATACAGGGATGGCAAAAAATGATGCCATAAAGGTACTCCTTTCTATCCCAACCATAGATGTGAATGGTTGCTCTCACTGGTGAACGGGGAGAACTAAGGAGCACACTATGTACAATGGTGCAATTTGTAAGTAAGACCCTCCTAAGTGTTTTTAATGTAAAAAAATCCATTATTTTGTACTTGATATGTGTAAATTTAGGAGGAAATATACCTTTTTAATAGCTTATTTGTTCATTGCCATAGCATTATCTTGCTTCCATCCTCTCCACATTCAGTGAATTCTAAGTTTGGTGCTGCCTGCATGGGCAGCCATTCCTCCACTTTGCCAAAAAAGACTATGTTAAAAGACAACATTGCAGTTGAGAATATAAATGAAGTCAGCAAACTCAAGGTTATGAAACCCACAGCAAAAGGTAACTCAGATATTTGTGTGTAAGTTGCATTCTACATTTCTGAATACCTTCTTATATTTCTTACATTAACATACATGGAGTAATTAGTCACATGTATTTGAGCATGTAGGGCACCAGAAACACAGGACGTTTTCATACATCTGGAGCTCAGTTAATGGACAGCTGTGCTGTATGTATGTTAGCAAACAAATGTTATTTGCAAGTCAAGATTTCTCCACAAATGTCAAATGACTTTTGTCCTCATTGAGAATGGTCATGGAAAATCGGAAGCTCAAAAATTTCTGCACACTATATTAAAAACACTACAAAATTGTCTTTAATATATTAAAACTAATACCTAAATAGGATTTCAGACTGAACAGTTCAATCTTAGGCTAAGAACAAAAGTAAAATACCCTTTAGGTTAACAAGTTTTTAGTCCCAGAACACAGGCTTATGAAGAGAAACAGTGATGTTTTAATCTAAAGTTATTTTTGATTGTTTTGCATCATTTTTACTGTTCTAAAAGAAGGGTCAGAAGCTAGGTATGACATGTGGGCTTACTATTTGTAAATAGGGGAGATAATTATTCAATTGGTCCTTTTAACCTACATATGTTCATCTGAATTCAAGCATACTACAAGTTGCAAGTAGAGCCTAAATTAACATAGCTGAAAAATTAGAAAACACTTTGTTCACAGTATGAAGTTTATAGCACTTGGTATTTAGTTTAATTATTTCTCCTCTATAGTAACTCCACTTTCATTGTCCATACAGGATTTTAACAAAGCAAGGGAAGAAAGACTTGTTTCAAAAAATAAGAAAATATAATTGTAAAGCTACAGTGGAATTCAGGTGGGAATCCAGGTAGTGCCTGGAATTACATGTAACTTATTCTTTTTTTTAAACCCTTGGCAAAGTTCCATGTTGAAGTGTCCCTTTAATTAAAAATAGAAACATACTGAGTGGACACCAGAGCATGTGAATAGAAATACATTTTTCTAACATCTCCCATTTTCACCCTGGCTTCCCCTTAAGTTTTCCATGACAAAGATGTAGCCTTCATTATAATCCTGGAAAGTGTGTATGGTAACAAAATCCTCAAACGGGCACCGCTCCACTTTGAACTCTATAATCTGTGAGCCAACTATCTCCATCCCATCTATAAATCCTTCTTTAGATCCATCGGCTTCCACTGGAAAGAACATGGATTTGGTGTTTTTTTCAGCTCTTTTTTCTTTTTGCATCACTAACAAATCACACTTGCAAAGACTTGAATTTAGTCCAACTTCTACACTGTTTAAAGCCATTCAGTACCCACCAGACTCTGAGATGCTTCTCTCCCAGGGCAACATATACAGCTTTATGATTTACTTAGGTTTTAATCTAAGAGAAATTCCACTTGCTGTCTCCCTTCCCCTATGCTACACTGGGCATGCCCTTCTTTGTGAGATGCTCCAGGAACTCAGATGCAATGGCTTATACATCTCCTGAATATTTCCTGTTCAATCATAACTACACCACAGTCCTGGGAGCCCACTGCAACTCTAGCCTGAGCCCATAACCCAGGCAACAGCTGCACTACAGTGGCACCCTCTCCCCAACCGGGTTTCCAGGCCACATGCCATGTTTGGGAGAGGAAGGGGTATTCCCCAGTGGCGGTGTGAACTCAGAGCGTACTGAAGTCGCTTGTTCCAGCACTGGCCAGTCCCTGCCCTGCCAGGGCGTCACAAAGCAACGCAACAAGAGCGTCCCGAGTTATTATCAGGATCCAGGAAGCTGGAGGGCACCGCTGAGTGCTGCCGCCGGCCCAGCCACTATGTCCTTGGGGGCGGGCAAGCTGCCCGGGGCGGACGGGGCCTGGCTGCAGACAATGGGAGCCCGACCTCCGCAGGCCGGGGCAGGACCCGGCTGAGGAGGAGTCACCCCCCTCCCCCCGCTGCAGCTGAGCCCAGGCCGGTCCGGGATCCCGGTGCCGCTCACCTGCGAGCCGCACCGTGGGGGGGGGGGAATCCGGGCCCCGCTCACCTGCGAGCCGCACCGGGGGGGAAGGGGAATCCGGGCCCCGCTCACCTGCGAGCCGCACCTGGGGGGGGCTGGGCCGCGAGGGTATCCGGGGAGGGGGAGCGGGCCCTAGGGGCGGCGGTGCCGGCTGCAGCAGCAGGGGCTCCGGCTCCTCCTCTTCGGCCCGGCCCAGGTGCGGCAGGGACAACAACTCGCCACCATCCCGGCGTCAGCAGCACCACGGCCGGGCATACGTCAGCGCGTCGTCGTCTCTCAGAGCGCAGCCAATGGCGAGACGCCCCAGCTCCCAGTCGCGTCATCGCCCAGGAGTGCGCGCGGGGAGGGGAGCTGCCGGGGGTGGAGCCTCCGGCATGGGGGTGGGGTTTGTACAGGGCAGGGAGCTGTCAAACGGAGAAGGGAGGGGGGGGGTTCCCACACTTGTGTGGAGGGTGGGGGCTCGGGGCTAGGATGAACAAACAGCAAGTGTGAAAAATCAGGTGGGGGGAATTGGCGCCCATATAAGACAAAGCTCCAAATATCCGGACTGTCCCTATAAAATCGGGACATCTGTTCACCCTACTCGGGGCTAGGATCCCCCAGACTCCATTTCCAGGGCATGTCATGGGGCAGTCAGGAGCCTCACTTGCCCTTGCTGAACAGATGTTCCTCACAGACCCTAGTCCCAGCTTTGGGAAGACTCACTGTGTCACCTTAAGTGCCTGTTCCACTTTGTACCTCAGTTTCCCCATCAAACAGGGATAACAATCCCTTTACAAGATCCTGGAGGCCCTCCTCACCAGCTAGGCCGGCTGTGTCTCAGCACCTTGTGGGCCTGTGTATCTGGACCCATCTTTTTATTTATATAACAGCACCTAAATATACACCATGTGCAATCAGCACAAAGCTGACAGTGTTGATGTCACTAGGCCTAGATGAACCAAAGTTCTTCAATGTTTAACTCTAATCGACCTCGAAAGCTAGATGCATGGAATGTGTAAACAGCCAGTTATCAGTTACAAACCCCTCCTCATACCAGGTACCAAGCGATAATGATGAGGCTTGCATGTTTCTAGCTGGAGAAGAGGTAATAAATCAAGGGGAACAGGACCAGATAACTGTTTAGAGAGAAGTTACTAACAAACTAGACTTATAGCCCCAGAATGATTTAATTGCTTAAATGTATAAACATGCCTTCAGTAGAGAGGGGAGAGGGATAGAGGGGGGGTAGTAGGGAGGGAGGGGGGGCTTAGTTGTAAAATGTATAAAGAGAGGAAAACTGGTTTTGCCTGTCTCCTTGCACCACTTTGAAATCTCAAATAAACTTTGTTTGCTTCTCCACCCTGGTGTGTCCATTGGCACGAAGCACACCGGGCAACGAACCCCGCTGTTGCTGTCCTCGGGCCTCTGTGCCGACAACAACAGGATTCCTGATCTCTTAGCTCAGCCACCCAAACACCTTTTCACAGAAACATAGGCATATAGGCCTGGTGCTGACTTCATTCCTATTGACTTTAACAGGAGTGGTCAGTGGTCAGCACTTCTGAAGAATGGGCCCTGTATATTTTAACTGTAAGCAAAGCACCTGGCTGGATTTGAACGTATGCTTCCAGGGAGATTAGTTTACTGCAGATATGATGCTTAGATCTTTTAAATGAAACCTTCAGGCAAAACAAACAAACAAACAGAAACCTAAAGGAAGGAGCTGTTGCACAAAGTGAAAACTTTCCCCTCTCAGAAAGGAAAAAACACATTAAAAAGCAACAGTGTTAGGAGAAATGGTCACAAGAGAGGTAAAGATGATTTATGCTAGTTTAGACAGTTTAAGCAAGGCAAAAGCGCCATCTACTGGCATATAAATGTATCTAATCCTCTTCTGCATGTAAGTTAAAAAAGTATGTTAGATAGCAAAACTCTTCTTTACTGCTAAAATACTTGCTGAATATACTATAGAGTGGGTACCTCTTATGGTGAAGTCGTTTTCTTTACGGTATACACAATTTCCCATTACTCTGAAGTGCAATTTGTACAATGCAATCCATACAAACACTTTGAGACTTTCATTCCAGTTACCATATTTAACAAATAAAAAAAGAGGAACCTCCATGGGGCCCTGGCCCCGCCCATTTCCCAACCCCAACCCCAACTCCGCCCCTTCCCCACCCTAACCCCGCCCCCTCCTCCCTCCCACTCCCAGCCACGTGAAAAGGGCTGTCCGAGCGCTACCGGCTTCACGGTTTGCCGGGCAGCCCCCAAACCCTGCGCCCCCGGCCGGCGCTTCCCCAGCGCAGCGGGAGCCCGGGAGGGGAAGCGCCCAGCCGGGCAAACCGTGAAGCCGGTAGCGCTTGGGCTATTATACACCTCTACCCCGATATAATGCGACCCGATATAACACGAATTCAGATATAACGCGGTAAAGCAGCGCTCCGGGAGGGTGGGGCTGCGCACTCCAGCGGATCAAAGCAAGTTCAATATAACGCGGTTTCACCTATAACACGGTAAGATATTTTGGCTCCCGAGGACAGTGTTATATCAGGGTAGAGGTGTAGTTAGAGATTTTTTCCTAATATCTAACTTAAATCTTCCCTGCTGCAGATTAAGCTGATTACTTCTTGTCCTTCCTCCAGTAGAAGGGAGAACAATTGATCACAGTCCTCTTTATAACAGCCCTTAACATATTTGAAGACTTTTATCAGGTCCCCCCTCGGTTTTCTTTTCTCAGAACTAAATTTACCCAGTTTTTTTAACCTTTTCTCCTATCAGGTTTTCTAACCCTTTTATCATTTTTGTTGCTCTCCTCTCACTCTCTCCAATTTGTCCACAGCTTTCCTAAGGTGTGGTGCCCAAAAGTGAATACAATACTTCTGCTCAGGCCTCACCAGTGCTGAATAGAGTGGGACAATTACCTCCTTTATCTTACAAAGGGCTGTCCTGTTAAGATACCCTCATCTGCCTTTTTCTCAACTGCATCACTTTGACTCATATTCAATTTGTGACCCACTAGAACTCCCAGATCCTTTTCAGCAGTACAAGCACCTAGCCTAGAGGTCGGCAACCTTTCAGCAGTGGTGTGCCAAGTCTTCATTTATACACTCTTAATTTAAGGCTTCGTGTGCCGGTAATACATTTTAACGTTTTTTAGAAGATCTCTCTATAAGTCTATAATATATAACCAAACTACTGTTATATGTAAAGTAAACAAGGTTTTCAAAATGTTTCAGAAGCTTTATTTAAAATTAAATTAAAATGCAGATCTTATCAGTTTAGTGTCATCTTTGCCCTTGCTTTTCCTTGCTGAGTTTTCCAATGTCTGGCACCTATTTGGGTACTTTAAGCTGCACACAGGCTTCTGAGTGATCAGTTGTTAACCGGCTAGAACCCCAGATTGGCAGCTGAGGTAAGTGGAGCTGGCGGTTGGTAGGGCTGAGCAGGGCTGGAGGCCTGGACCCTGTCTGGCAGGGGGCCTGCGCTGGAACTCCAACCGGAAGCAAGGTGAGTGGGGCTGCGGCAGGGGGGACCCCGGCTGGCAAGGGCTAGCAGCCAGAACCCCAGAGCAGTGACTGAGCAGCTCAGCCCGCCCCAGCTCTGGGGTTTTGGACGTCGGCTCCTGCCAGCCGGGGTCTCAGCCCACTGCCAGCCTGGGGTTCCTTCACCCAGGTAGGCAGCGGGCGATGAGTGGGACCAGCAGCGGGACCCCGTCTGGCAAAGGACCAGCAGCAGGAACCCCAGAGCGGTGGTGGGTAAAGAAGCTCAGCCTGCGCTGCGTGCCATCAAAAATCGGCTCGCGTGCCACCTTTGGCACGCATGCTGTAGGTTGCCGATCCCTACCCTAGCCATTATTCCCCATTTTGTAGTTGTGCTTTAGATTTTTCCTTCCTAATTGTAGGATTTTGCAATTGCTGTTATTGAATTTCAACTTGTTGATTTCAGACCAATTCTCCAGTTTATCATGGTCATTTTGAATTCTAATCCTTCCTCCATAGCGCTTGCAATCCTTCCCAGTTTGATGTCATCCACAAATTTTATAAGCATACTCTCCACTCCATTATCGGAGTTATTAATGAAAATATTGAATAGTACCAGACCCAGGAAAGACCCCCTGCAGAATCCCGCTATATACAGTGAATCATTTATAACTATGCTGTGAGTACAGTATCAGAGGGTAGCCGTGTTAGTCTGTATCTACAAAAACAACAAGGAGTCTGGTGGCACCTTAAAGACTAACAGATTTATTTGGGCATAAGCTTTCGTGGGTAAAAACCTCACTTTTTGAAGTGAGCTGTGAGTAGTCTTTCAAACAGTTATTCACCCACCTTATAGTAATTTCATATAGACCATATTTCCCTAGATTGTTTATGAGAATTCATGTGGGACAGTGTCAAAAGCTTTACTAAAATCAAGATAAATCATATTTATTTGCTTCCCCTTATCCATTAGACCAATAACTTTGTCAAAGAGTGAAATTAGATTGGTTTGGCATTATTTGTTCTTCACAAATACCTGCTGGGTATTCCTTATAACCCTACTAACCTCTAGGTGATTACAAACTGATTGTTTAATATTTTGTTCCAGTATCTTGCCTGGCATTGAAATTAGGTTGACTGGTCTCTAATTCCCTAGGTCCTCTTTGTTCCCCATTTTAAAAATATGAACAATGTTTGCCCTTCTCCAGTCCTCTGGGACCTCACTCTTACTCCAGGAGTTCTCAAAGATAATCGCTAATAGTTCAGAGATTGTTTCATATAGCTTCTTAAGTACCCTAGGGTGATCATCAGGCCCTGCTAACTTGAATTTATCTAACTTATCTAAATATTCGTTAGCCTATTCTTCCCCTGTTCTGGCTTATGTTTCTTCCCCCTTCTTGTTAATATTAACTGTGTTAAGCATCAGGTCACAATTAATTCTTTCAGAGGAGACTGAAGGAAAATAGGCATTAAACACCACAGGCTTTTTAATGTCATCCTTCCCTGCTAAATAGTGGACCTATACTTTCCTTTCTTTTGGTCATAATGTAATTTATAGAATCTCTTATTGCCTTTTATGTCCCTTGCTAAATGTAATTCATTTCATGCCTTAGCCTTTCTGATTTTGTCCCTACAAGTTTGTCCTATTCTTTTGTATTCATCCTTAACAATTTGTCCATGTTTCCACTTTTTTAGGATTTCTTTTTGATTTTCAAGTCATGTCCTGAAGGAGCCATATTGGCTTCTTATCATTCTTCCTTTCTTTCCTTTAATCGGGATAGTTTGCTGTTGTGCCTTT